TATCATTCAACTTAGTAAGAGGGCACTTCCACCAGAAGAGGCTACTAAAGTTGGAGAATGCTTCTATATGAAAGATGGCATCCTTATGCGAAAATGGCGACCACCTGATGCTTCTCCAGATGAAGTGTGGCGTGTTGTTCACCAGATAGTGGTCCCAGCTGCTTATCGTCGAGATGTCATGAGTTTAGCTCACGATACACCTATGGCTGGTCATTTAGGTATCAATAAGACTTATAATAGGATTTTGAGTCATTTTTATTGGCCTAAGCTAAGAAAGGATGTTTCGAAGTTTTGCAAGTCATGCCATGTCTGTCAGATGGTAGGTAAACCAAATCAGAAGATACCATCTGCTCCTCTCCAACCCATTCCAGCTTTTGAAGAACCGTTTAGTCGAGTATTAGTGGATTGTGTAGGACCTTTGCCTAGGACCAGATCTGGAAACCAGTATTTACTTACCATTATGTGTACATCTACTCGATTTCCTGAAGCCATACCTCTAAGGAATATAAAGGCAAAGAGCATAGTTAAGGCCCTAACCAAGTTTTTCAGTTTTGTAGGAGCACCCAAGGCAATTCAGTCGGATCAAGGCTCAAATTTTATGTCGGGGTTGTTCCAGCAAGTCATGCATGAGTTGGATATAAGGCAATATAGATCAACTGCTTATCATCCCGAGTCCCAGGGAGCGCTAGAACGTTTTCATCAAACCCTAAAAACAATGCTGAAGACCCATTGTTACCAATATGAAAAAGACTGGGACGAAGGGGTTCATCTTGTGCTATTTGCTGCACTGAGAAGCAGTCCAGGAGTCTCTTGGGTTCAGTCCTTTTGAATTGGTGTTCGGACATACAGTTAGAGGTCCTTTGAAATTGTTGAAGGAAAAGTGGCTGACTGAGACTAGTGATCTTAATCTTTTAGATTATGTGTCTGATTTCAAAGAAAAACTTTACAATGCTTGTAAATTAGCACAAGAAAATTTGAAGAATTCTCAGATGAAAATGAAAATGTGGTATGACAAAGATGCCAGAAATAGGGTGTTTAAACCAGGTGATAAGGTTCTTGTATTTTTACCTATTCCTGGTCATCCTTTACAGGCCAGATTTTATGGTCCTTATGAAATTGAAAGCAAGATCAGTGATGTAAACTATGTAGTTAAGACACCAGGTCGACGTAAAGAGAAACGGGTTTGTCACATTAACATGTTAAAAGAGTATTTTGAAAGGTGTGACCGAAATTCTGTAAAACCAGTTTCCACTTTAGCCAATGCTAAGACTGTTCAAAATTATATTGAAAGTGATACGAGTGTAGAAATGAATGAGAAAGATTGTAATCAGAGTGTTCGTTTGAAAAACTCAGAAATTTTGGCTGATTTTGATGCCAAACTTGGACATTTGAACATTCACCAAAAAGAACAAGTTAAAAACTTGATGAATGAGTATCATCAAATCTTCTCAGATGTTCCAAAGAAAACTAATGCAGCTTGTCATGATGTTATAGTTGGCGACGCTCTGCCTATCAAACAACATCCGTACCGTCTGAATCCAATAAAATTGCAGTACCTAAGAAGGGAAGTGCAGTACATGTTGGACAATGACATTGTTGAACCTAGTAAAAGTGATTGGAGCTCACCGTGTATTCTTGTACCAAAACAGGACGGTTCTTACCGATTATGTACAGACTTTAGAAAGGTGAATTCTGTTACCAAAACTGATTCATATCCAATACCTAGAATCGATGACTGTATTGACAACATTGGAAACGCGAAATTTGTCAGTAAATTTGACCTGTTGAAAGGCTACTGGCAAGTACCGTTAACAGAAAGAGCAAAAGAAATATCTGCTTTTGCTACACCAGATGGACTTTACCAGTATAAAGTAATGCCTTTTGGCATGAAAAACGCACCGGCTACATTCCAAAGGATGATTCACTCCCTTCTTCAAGACCTTGAGGGATGCGAGGCCTACATTGATGATGTCGTCATATATAGCAACACATGGGACGAACATCTCCGAATCATGCGTGCTTTATTTGACATTTTAGCTAAAGCAAACTTAACTGTGAATCTTGAGAAGAGCGAATTTTGTCATGCTTATGTAGAGTATTTAGGTCATAAAGTAGGTCAAGGTTATGTTACACCCATAATGGCTAAAGTGGAAGCTATTGCAAAGTTCCCGATTCCTACAAACAAGAAAGAATTAATGAGGTTTTTGGGCATGGCTGGGTTTTACAGAAAATTTTGTCCAAATTTTTCCTCAGTAGTTAGTCCACTTACAAATCTTTTACAAAAGAGGGTTAACTTTGAATGGACAAAGGACTGTGAAAAATCCTTTCATAAAATCAAATCTATCCTGATGAGCAACCCAGTTCTGTCATCTCCAGATTTTTCTAAGCAATTTAAGTTAACTGTTGATGCTAGTGATGTTGGAATCGGGGCAGCTTTGTTTCAAGAACATAGTGATAATGTAGATAGAGTTGTTTCTTATTTTTCAAAGAAACTTACAAAATGTCAACGAAATTATTCTACTATTGAAAAAGAATGCCTTGCTTTGTTGTTAGCTTTACAGCATTTTGATGTTTATTTGAATGTTACTTTGCATCCAATTCTTGTGTATACTGATCACAACCCCCTGACATTTTTGCATAAATTGTCAAACAAGAATCAAAGACTGACTAGATGGAGTTTGTTGTTACAAGAATACAACATAACAATTAAGCATATCAAAGGCAAAGACAATGTTATTGCAGACGCCTTGTCAAGAGTATCGTAAACATACTAGATTTTGTATTAATGTACATGTTTTACAATTTAAGTTTTTCATTGACATTCAAACTTTTAAGGGGGGAGGTGTTGTGAGATGTGTATTGTTTCATTATGTATATAATTAGTAACATTAAGTTTCTTGAACATTCCAGAGTGGTCAACATGTTTGGTCATTTTATCTAGAACATTCTTAAATTTTGTGTATGTCCAGATTGTTCCAGTAATATCATGTTTTAACAATTTCTAGAATATTCTAGATTTATATTACTGTATAAATACCCTGTCAATTCGATGCATAATATACTTTGTCGTATAAGCACTATTGAGATATAACTGGGATATATTTTCACTGGGACATTGTGTGCAGCAACGGACACTCTGATGTATGTATTCTTAGATTCTTGCTAAGTTTGTACTTTATGTTTCATATACTTATTATATATTACTGTAAATAAATTATTGTTAAGTTTAAATTGTGTTATTGATCTTTGCTGGCATTTCGGGTAATTCTGACCCATAACAGTAATCATGACGACATCTTTCTTTGAAATCAAAAACCAATAATTAGAATTATGTATCTTAGGAGAGTTTACTTGAGTACCAAGTATTATTGAAATTTAACTTTAATTTACCTTATAAATGCAAAATTTTTAATTACATTTATTTTCAAGACATTAAAATAAGTACCTATCTCATTTTTATAACCCTTATTTTTTTTTAAATAATTTACAAGTACAACTAAAGGGAGATAACCTACACAATGGGCTGTATCTCATAGTGAGTGTTACTGATAGAATACTACATCTTACAGTTTCTTGGTCTTGGTTCCGTTGGAGAGCTGAACCTCTATATCATGACAGTATCTATTATACATGTATGTGTGTTACTGATATGATACTAATACTTACAATTTCTTGATTTTGGATCCCTTGTAGAGCCATAGCTCTATATAGGGACAGTATCTATTAGGCCAGGTAAAATTAATCTTTAGATTCTCATCCTAATTTGCAACAAAATTGGGGCGGGTGGGCGGATTTTATTTTTTATTTTTTATAATTGTTAATTTACATAAATAGGCCTAAGTGTCAACAAAACAATGGACGCCCCGTACACATTTTTTTTCATTACCTTAATGCAAATATGAATAGATTTAATTCTTTTCATATTCTTTTAAATATTTAAAGAAAATTTTTGCTTTAAAAGTTAAATATTTATTGTTAATTAACAAATTATCAAGTACTGAACAAAATGAGGTGGGGATACCAATAAATTGTGTATGCGTGACTTCTTATTTTGCAAAATCTATATAAATGTTCTATTATTCTACTGAAAAATCTAGGCCTTCTCTTAAGTCTGTCTACGATGTTGTAGATTTTTTTTTATTTCAAAGCTAAGTCACACAGCTGGAGATCGTTATATATAACTTGACCAGGTGTCATTTTCCTCGTCTATTTTTACTTAGTTACAATCTCTCTACATACTTGCTACTGCCAGTGATGGTATCTATATGTGTTTATGCTATTTTTTCTTCTCTGCCTTCTCTATACTGACAAATTATCTTTTCCTAACACATTTAAACTGCTTTTATTGCCGATTTTTCTCCATTCTTCACATGGCGTTTTTGCTATAAATAGCGACACGCGACTTTTAATACAGACGGGAGATAACTCTTACTGAATAAAAATATATGAAAATACCCAAAAATCAAAATAAAAAACATCGGGGCGGGACATTTTGAGAGGGGCGGGCGGGGATGAGAATCTAAAGATTAATTTTATATGGCCTTAGTGTGTGTATCTGATACAACGCTAACACTTAGTTTCTTGACCTTGGTTCCGTCCGACAGCCGCACCTCTATGTTGGGTAGGTATCTATTTGTGTGTGTCTCAGATACTTACAGTTTCTTGACCTTGGTTCCGTCCGACAGCCGCACCTCTATGTTGGGTAGGTATCTATTAGTGTGTGTCTCTGATACTAATACTTACAGTTTCTTGACCTTGGTTCCGTCGGAGAGTCGGACCTCTATGTTGGGTAGGTATCTACTTGTGTGTGTCTCTGATACTAATACAGTTTCTTGGTCTTGGTTCCGTCGGAGAGTCTGACCTCTATGTTGGGTAGGTATCTATTAGTGTGTGTCTCTGATACTAATACTTACAGTTTCTTGGTCTTGGTTCCGTCGGAGAGTCGGACCTCTATGTTGGGTATGTGTCTATTGGTGTGTGTTTCTCATTGTAATACTTACAATTTCTTTGTTTTGGTTCCATCCGACAGCCGGACCTCTATATTGGGTAGGTCCCTCCAGTCAGACCCCGGGGCCAGGGGAATGTGCTGCATCCTGGCAGCCACCAGAGGACTCATCTCCTTACAGATGTGGTCCCGCAGTATCGGCTGGTGTTGTTTACCTCGTATCTAAGACAGATAGAAATAGAAACACTCACTGAATAGAAAAGCAAAATAGACAGAAATACAACACAATTACTCCAGAAATAGAAAAACAAAATGCTTAACTAAGTATTTCTTTTTTTAATTAATTGGATTTTAAAAGAAAAAAGTCTATGGTTGATTAGCATAAAATTTGGGAGGCTGAAATTTAACATTTATTTTTCATTTAAAATAATTACATGCAGGTATAACAGACTTGTTAATATGTATCTACATGTATTTACAACATTGATGTAAACTTTGTTTAATATTGGTCAATGTTTGCTTTACCTTCATCTCAAAATGGTGATAACATTTAGAATGATTTTATGAAGAAATTGTTTTAAAAAAATTATATAACAAAAGAAATCTTTGCAGCAAGTGGTCTTGTGTGAATCCCATGCTCTTTGAGAAAAAATAAACAAATTGTACGAATGTGAAGTTCAGTGATCTTTGTTTTGAGCTCCATGGGAGAACTGTATATTTCTGCTTCTCTCAACACATTTTCGTAAATTATTCTCTCCCCCACTTGATGTAAAAACTCTACCTGCTAATCATTTACGCGGCATTAAAGATGGAAAAATTTATTTTGCAGACTCTGAAGGGGTCCTCACTACTTGATCGTCCTTGAATTTATTTATAAAAATATGTTTATTGAGCGTAATGTGAGAAGCATTAAATTGTATTGATTATCCCCCCGCGACAGAGGTGGGACTTGTATGCTTACAATCCTTTGGAAATGGGACTGATAATCGCCTTGATACGAGATTTCCTCAGCTTTGGCCCCGTTCCTGATTTCTGGGAGATCGGACATCGTGTCTCGGACTGTGATGGTCCGGAATGGAGCGGACTCAGTTCTCGTGATGTTGGACATAAACTGTGGAGCATTAAAATATACAATATAAAGAATCAGCATCTAGCAACATGGAACATATAATATGAACATTTGATTGCAATATGACATTAAAATGACACATTTTTCTTGAATAGTAGATACATGCAGTTTAAAAGGTCTCCTTTACATAGTCCTTCACAATCAAAATGAAGATCAAATTAGAAAATTCTATCTTTACCTTATTGTGAATTTCTTCAGGCACCAAAGTTTACTTCACTGTAAATTTCTCTAAAGACACTATGGTTTATCTTATTTAAATTTCTACAGACACTATGGTTTATCTTATTGTAAATTTCTACAGACACTATGGTTTAATTTATTGTAAATTTCTACAGACACAATGGTTTACCTTATTCATATTTCTACAGAAACTATGGTTTACCATATTTAAATTTCTACAGACACTATGGTTTAATTTATTGTAAATTTCTACAGACTCTATGGTATATCTTATTTAAATTTCTACAGACACTACGGTTTATCTTATTTAAATTTCTACAGACAGTATGGTATGTTTTATTTAAATGTCTACAGACACTATGGTTTTATAATTGTAAATTTTTCCAGGCACCGTGGTTTAATAAATTGTAAATTTCTACAGGCACCATGTTTTACCTCAGTGTAAATTTCTACAGACACTATGGTTTTATTGATTGTAAGTTTTTTATAGGTACAATGATTTACCTTTTTATCGTCCATTGTAAATTTCTACAG